CCGAATACATATCAGCGCATATGACACAGACGACAGACCAAAAACAAAAATCATTGTAATAAATCACAATGTTTTTGAGTGACAAGTTTTGGCACAGATCTGGTTGACATACATGGTCGCCACATAACTCTCACAACGGCGTCAATATTTTTACATTGTCTTCGGCGAGAAAAAAAAGTGGCGCAGACAGTCGAAAGTACACATTCGAATTTGTTTACGATATTTTTTGGTTGCTCATAAAATCAATGTGACGTGCCTTCGGTGCATGTGACAGTGATTCCGAAAGAATACGCATTTGCATATCAAATAACTCAAATCAATGTCAGTCGAAACGGTGTATATTATTGCAAAAACCGTATCCCCATCACCCTGTGTAGCATTGATCTCTTTCAGACACTGAAAATGTAATAAAATCTTCGTAAAAGAAGAAATAAAAATGCAAATAAAAAGTTAAAAAAAGAAATATGATGGAAATTTCTTGCAAAAATTTGGAATGCTCTGGAGACTGTGCCACAGTGGGTAGCAGTATATTGATCTTGAAGTAAAAGAAAGATCTATCTAGATTTTTTCGTCGTTTTTCCTTCTCGGTTTTTCATAACTTGGTGAAAACATTGGTAAATAATGAAGTTAACTGTGGTTAATTTGCTTTCATGCGTTGGTGATGGTGTTTCAAAAACTTTCAAACTTGTGTGAAATAGTATTCAACAAATGATAATGTCGGTTAATATCCGTCTCTTGTCAATCTTTTTTTTGTCGGCAAAATGCACAAAAAATAGTCCATTCTGTCTATTCATGTGTCAGTGTATCAAAAGCTCATTTTCAAAAGCTTTGCAATATGTCTGGCTTTTGGGTCAAATTGAATTTTCTTTGTCGTAGACACAACATATAGAGCGAATTCAAAGAGCAAGCTATTCGCAATTTATAAAAGCATTTTGGCCAAGAGAAAATTTAATTAAATTGATTCGAAATGGCTACATGATTCGATGTGTGCAGGGAATTTCCAATCTTTCATTTTGTGAAAAGAGTAAAGATAGTGTGTGTGACACACATGAGACATTCAATGCCAAAATAATGAAATTGCGATGAAAATGTCCAGCATGTGGTGGTTGGTTGGTGATGATGCTAGAAAATTCAATAAAATGCTTACAAATGAAATTACGTTTCACACATACCAAACATTTTCTAACGTATTGATGATTATTTTATAATGTATCTAATGTGAACAAATGGCTTAATAATGAAATCGAACGAGTAAATGAGCGGTACGTAGCAAACGTATTTCTATGGCAACTCTGTAGCGTACGTCGTCGAATATTTAATTTACCATTATTTAATGACACTTGTGGAATATTAATTTGTGATGAGAGACAGTGACATAGAGCAAATTGGAATCGTTTATCGTGTGTTGAACAACACGTGGAATTGTCGGGCTCATTGGCAATACTGTGAAAGCACAAAATTCATTGCAAACCATGACTTTTAATTCACAAGACAATCAATTGTGTATACCTTTTTGGCGGGGGGTGCTTGAACGGTTTCGTGCTGTAAATGTTCCGTGACAATTGATGTACAAATGTTTCGATTGCCTAAATCCAGACATCATCATCAACGATAAAAAGTCATTGTGGAATAGTATGCGTTGAAAAATCCATCGGCGAATATGCTCATGGCTGCTAATACTGTTCTTTCTCCCTCTCCGTTGTGAGCGTTCGCATTTTGTAATCAAACTTATTTTATTTATTTATTTGTTTCTCGTAGCAACATAAATACATGAACGCTTTTTCAATTGCATTCAGGGCGAAAGCGAGAAAACGATATATATGTGCTGACGAATTATTTCATTCAATTTTAAAGTTTGAAAACGAGTCTTGAAAGTCAAAGGCATTGATTGCCTTGAAAAACAAACGCCAAGGTTGGCTACTATTTCACCAAATTATTCAATCTAATTTCATGTTTCGCTCTATTTACTTTCGTCTGCTGAATTTACTCTTTGGCTGGCTGATTCTTAAGTGGATTTCATTCATTCTCGAATGGAACGAACGAACGAGTCGAAATCTCTTTGACTTTGTGCGCTCCAACGAACAGATTACGGATCACATTAAAAATGCTGCACATATGAAAAACGCCGAAACGATATGTTTCTTGCATGCAATGTCTTGTGTCTCATTTTTAATTAAGCAAAAGCAAATACAAAGCTAGAAGATTAACCGTTGAAGTTCCATTTATGGCATTCTTCATTTTCTCTTCTTCTTTTTTTTGGGCATAAAATCATTCAACGCGTTGAAGTTCACTCGACATAGTATGTGTATACATATTGATCCATATTTTAGATTAAATTGTTCGTGACCACTCGGTTTATCTTATTCGCTAGCTTTTGTCCCCTATTCTTTCGTCAAGTGCTTTTGCTATTATCATTGTAATTATCAAAAGCAGATACAATTTAGAGCGCCGTTGTACTGGATGGATGTGTTTTGGACGCATAATGAGTGAATGCAAATGAGCGATAACACTTTTTCGCACAAAAGATAAATAAAAACTGTTAGTCAAATGAGAGACGAAGAGCGTATCAGAGAGGAGGGGAAGCAAAAAAGGAAGCTTGCACTCAAATATAAGGCAAAAAAAATTCTTGCTTGAAAAAGAAAGGAGAAAAAGAGTGCTGCAAAAAAGAGATGAGAGATTTTTATATTTGCTGCCGGTTTGGGTTGAAGAGATGGTTGGCGGTGGCGGAAATAAATGAAGTGATGATAGCAAAGAAGTATCACTTATTAAAGAAGATTTGGTGGATGTGCATGCAAAGTGCATGTGCTTCTCGCTCACTCGCTCCACAGTTGAATTTCGAGTGAGACAGAGCGAGAGACTGTGATGCGAATCGTTTAAACAGGATGGAATTACAAAAAAAAAATGTAACCGTTTTGTAGGCTAATGACAAGAGCTCGACTCTTGCTCATGAATATTCAACAGCACGTGCGGATAATTTTGTGTATAATATTAACTGTGTCAGCGTCAGCATTAAGCGTTTCATCATTTAACATCATAGCAAAAGCTGGCTTTTTGCATAAACACAAAAGAAATTGCGCTGTTGAACCAACGAACCAAATAAAAGTTTACAAAATCAAAAGAGTCGAAATACTTGAGTTTTGCATGAATACGAAAACAAATTGTGTGTGTGTGTGTGTGTTTGTTTGTGTGCAAAAGACATAAGCGCAAAATAGCGAGTTGCGAAAAAAAACTCATGCTTGCAATAAAAAAAACTTGCGGAGATTTACATCGCGTACATGAAAAACTAACACACACATACACAAAAAATGTGCGACTTTTTGCACTTATTTTTCGATCTTGGAGGTTCTCGATTCGCACATTGTATACAGGATATTGGTGCAAATTTTCAAATAAAAAAACGTAGACTGAGTAGCTGCGGTGTCAGCATGCAACGAGAATACGCCGATAATATTTATGTATATACATTAATGGTTACGTAATTTGTTGACTGGAAAACGGATTTGTTGAAATTGAGATATTAACCCGATTTCGTTTCGTTCGAGAGAAGAAAAAAAAGAATGTCGGTCATGAATTTAGTAGTATTCACGAGCTATGTACATCACAACAAAACATCGAAACACTTACAACAAAACCAACTGAAAAATGGGCGAAATTAATAGTCTTTACGTTCAATCGTAAGGCGCAAATGGAAGCAACGTTCGAACATTAAACAATTTATTGCCAGGATGTGGATACATTGATGCTGCACTCGTCACTGCTATTCATTTCCTCTATTTTTTTGGCGTGTACAAACAGCTTCGTCTTCAAATGTTATGCTTTAAGCATTCGAATCTCTTTTTTTTCCTATCGCTTTACCTCGTCCATCATCCATTTCCGAAAACTTGATCCTTCGCCCAGCATCATCTCTCCCTCTCAATAAATTTGGTCAAATGATTTTTTTTATTACCAACTTTTTCTTTCAGCGAATCGTGTCAGAAAACTTTTTCCATTCGACCAGTGATATGGTCAGTGGCAAAGTGGAAGAAAGAGAGAAAGAGACGGCCAAAAGATGAACCGTCGAACAGTTTGTTAACAAAGGAAAGTTTTATGTGGTGACATTTCTCGAACAACGGAGTTGTAAATTGTATATCCTGTCGTTCATCAATGGATGTCGTCCAGCGAATCAGTATGTGTGAGTGTATGTTTGGGTGTGATACATTCGAATGTCTTTTGTGTAATTCATCTTGGCCTATTCCTTCCGCACAACATCCGATTTACGTCGAACACAAAGTGGCTGCCTCTATCTCATACATATACAGAGATTTGCAACAACAAAAAATGAATCTGTTCAGGCGGTCGTCAAGATATTAATCCTTGCATCGACACTCGACACCCGATATTTTTCGCCTTCTCGCTTTTTTCTCACTCAATATTTTTCGCCAAATCAATACTTGAACACTCATGACCGTGCAAAATGCTCGCATTTCGTCGACATAACGATAAATAGCCATACATTAGAATAATTAGAGTGATTTATCACAGTTGCTTTTTAGTTGTTATTTTTTTTTGGATTTCGGAAATGTTGCGAATCGGCATAGAATGGAAGTCATAAATGGCTTTTTCCTCCTGTCCGGCTACAAAAACGGGAGTCACAGTGGATCGACTAACTTATTGTCATTTTATTGTCGTCCATTTCCAACAGGTCTTTTTTTTCTCCCTCTAACTCGCTTTTGTTTCGATAACAAATGATTTCCGCACACATCACTTTTAAGCATTCGCACAACGCACAGAGTTAATTTGATTTCACTGATGGATTGTGGTTTTGCGATAATAAAATTTACTACTTTGTCACCATCATTCCGGTCAATGCATTGACCAATATTTAATGGAATATTACAATTAACTGGGAACCATTTAGATGTGGAGATGTATTTGATGGACACATTTGTTTTTGTTGACGATGTTTGCGGTCAGTTATCGACATGTTATTTCAATAGATTAAAGGAAATTTGTTAACTTACCTTGTTGATTTTGCGGTATAAACTCTTCATGCTTCATGTCGCCGGTTTCATTTGTTTTCAATGTGTAACTTGACAGCTTCTTTGTTAAAGATGCTAAGAGAGATTGAGCACGTGGCGGAATTTCTGGAGGTGCCGGCTCTGGTGGCGGCTCATATTCTGCAGTAAAAGAAAGCAATTATAAAATTAAAACGAAAAAAATTGATGTAAACTTTCATATAAAATCGACACAGCCGAAAATGTATCTTGAGTTTACTGTACTCTCATGGGAAATATTAATGAATATATTTGTGTAACACATCCACTTTTGCGAAACTTTTCTTACAAAGACAAAAAACAAGCCTTTGATATTATCAAGAAACATAATTGAAATACGCGCTTACGCTTATATTTCGTGTTGTGTTACAAAGCCTATGTGATTCCGATTGCAAAATTTGAAATGAAGATTGTGAACGTGCTCAAAATTACATTTATTTCCATAATCTTGAATTGAAAAACCTTATACGAACGTATGATTACCGGTGTGTCATATTACAATTGTGAAATAAATAACTCGGATGCAAACAATGACTGAAGGGCGAAAAAAACTACGATTGTAAACATTTATAAGCTGATTTTACATGAATACGTGGAAAATGTTCATTTAAATTGCAATTAGTGTCTTTGTTGATAGTGCACAATATAATAAAGTATGCGAAGAGCGATTTTCCATGTTGATTTGAAAATTTCGATATGTAATCACAAATTATTGCATGTTATTAACATCCGTAATGAATTTAGTGCGGGAGTAATGGCATAAGCCATAGCATTTTCACTGTGTACTACATATTTTCCAATTAAGTTGATTAACATCTTGCAAATATGAACAAAACATCAGCGCCGACCGCATTTCAGCACAAATGTCTTTGTTATTCGCATCGATTTGTATTTTATTATCGTTAAATCGAATTAACTGTATAAATTAAATTGAAAGCATTCATATTGTTTTGCATCACAGAATCGGTGTTGTCCATTTTGTAACAAAATAGATGAGAGGGAGAGAAGTGAGGGTGAATTAATGAATGAACGAAAGAGAAGTGGACTCAATTAAAGGATTAGATTTGGCTAAGAGTTGGAAATTAATTTGAATATAAGTTTATTTTCAGAATTATTGTTTATCGCTCATCTTGGATGAACTCAAGCGCAAATATGGGAGATTTGCATTCACATGTTAACTTTTCCCATACTCTTTTTTATTCAGAATGTGCCAGTGAAAATGGAGGTGTTTATTAGGGTGATTACAATACTTTTGCCACACAAAGAGTAGTGTGTACCATGTATTCTGAGGTAATTAGAAAACAAACGCCTTTCAACTGGAAAAGCTCTTTAATGTCATACACAATGGCATTGGGATCAAATAAGCATGATTTGACATTTTTATCGAAAAATATCATCTTCTAAGTCCATTTTCTTCATAAACATTGTTTCGAAGATTATCTCATCGGACACTCTTTGCACATGTAACCCTTCTTCTCGGTTCAAAGGATGTGTAATACATAGAAACTTACCATTTTGATGGTGTAATTGATTTAGATGGCCGTCTTGTGAATCATCATCGCGTGAATCACTGAATGCATTACCACCATTGTTGGTTTTCTGCAATTCACCGTTTCGACTGCTACCATTATCGCGATGTCGTTCATTATTTACGTTATTACTATTCGATGATGTGGCACTGCTAGACGATGTCATGCCACTAGTTGTGCGTTGATGATGTCGACTATTTACTGACAAACTACTCCTGAGCAATGAATTTGTTGGCATTGCCGATGGCTTTGTTGTGGTTGTTGTGTAGATAACTTCACCTAAAACGGCAAACAAACATCAAATAGTAAAATAAACAATGAAACGGAAAAAAAACGAACATCCTCAAATTCTGGTTTGTGGCTTGTGTCGTTTCAATTTTTTCCGACCGACTTTTCTGTCTTTTCTTGTGACGTCTCGCAAGTCGCTTTTGATATTTTACGAAGCGCTCGAAAAACACACGACATATATTTACACAAATGTGAAAGATATCAACTCTTCGTTGTGGAAAATGTTTGCTTTGGTTGGAAATATATCGAATTGTGAATAATTAAATAGTTTGTTTGAGTTGACAAGTTGACATTATGTCATAAGCTGTAATACATCCACCAAAAATACATTTTACACAATCTAAAACACAGTTGATATAAATACAGCATCGAAATGTGTTTTTCGATTTTTTTTTCTTCTCTCGTTGACAATAACACGAAAGGCGGTGAGGAAGAGATGGTGTTGGAGCATGTACTTACCGCTGGAACGATGTCGATCTTGTGGATTTGGTGCTGGTGCAGTGACATAGCGTCGATTTGTCGACTCCAATGGAAATGGTGACGCTTGACGCATTTGCAATGGTGATCGACTGATAACCGAATTTGGTGAATCCATGTTTTGATGTTTGTATAGAAGATTTTCGGTTCCATTGGTTGCACTTTTGATATCACAGTCCGATCGATATTGTTCAGCACCTGGAAAAATACATTTCCGAAAGAAAATAAAAAATAAAAGAGAGTTAGCAAACAAGGATTCGAATATGAGATAAGCGAACATAGCGCGCCAAAAAAAGAAGTCGTTTAGTTTTATGTATTCAAAAATAATAATAATAATAATAATAATTTCATATGAATTCAAAAGTTGAAATAAAGAAGGGATGTAGATGGGGATGGGATGTTTTCATAACAAATTTCAATGACGAAAGTTTTTCTGAGACAATATTCATGTTAGGAATATACAGTTTTGTAATTTTGTTTTATTTTCTTTGTAACCACATTCTTGACGGAATATGACAAAAAATGGAGAAAACACAGACAGTCAGAGAGCGAGAAAATGGCATAGAAAACCAGAGCAAAGAGCAGATAATGACACTGTCATGTCGTTTCCAAGCGACATTTCTATTTTTCGTTCTTGTTAGATGATACTTGTTTCGATTCTTTGCATATTTACTTTTTTCGCGAATGTGCGCGTTTCTTTCTACATCTCTGTTTCTATTTCTATCTCACTTGCTCTCTCTCTCTCTCTCTCTCTCTCTATCTCTTTCACTTTCATCTCATTGCAAACCATCGTTGTAATAAACAGACAGCATAAGATAAAAATGAATTCTCATCATAGGGTGCATACGAGACTCATACACAAAATTGCAATAACACACTTCTAAGCGATACAAAGAGCAAACTATATCCCACAATAAGTACGATGGAATAAGAGATCAAGACATTCTCTTCTTTAAGTTTCTGAGAGTTCCGATTACCCTCTTTTAAAGAAATGGAAAAATCGTTCAGTTTGCCGACCAGAATTCTTCTCCCTCTTTAATCAATTAAATTGATTCATTTTTGATGATAGTGGAATTAATATTTCCTTATATTTCTTTTTAAATAAAGGTATACACTAGATAGAATAGGCTTTTGCCAGACCCCTCCCCAGATTTTGGTCATATGCCCTCTAAAGTCTTTGGCATGGCCATCTATGAATGGAGATGAGAAAATAGAAAATAGTATGCAAGAAAATGAATGTTAAAGAAGCTCGTACTCAAAACAGACAAGTAGTATGAAAATGGCAAGAATCAAAATAAAACCAAATCCCACCAACTAAAACGAAGTTTGTGATTGTATAGTTGGTAAACCTTTTGGGGAATGTTATAAATTTTTGAGCCGTTACATTGAATATAGAAAACAAATCATATAATTTCATTGGAAAATTCCACATGATGTTATATGCTTTGTGAAACTGAATATAAAATCGTACTAACTTAAAAGAGTACTTCTTTTTACAATGATTGGTCAAAAATGAGAAGGAAAGTTTCTGCAACAACAAAAAAATGGGAAATTCTGTTTAGTCATGAAATCGAAGAGCACTGAAGGCAATAAAAGAGAGACAGTCTACATATATATATCGAAGACATGGCAACGTCGGATAACGTTATCCAGCTGAGAAACCGTACAAAATTTCCTAATGCAATTATAACAAGATTGAAGTGAAAAGTCAAAGAATGTTTTCCCTGTATGCTTTTGAAAAATTAAAAAAAAAATTGCTTCAGTCCGTTTCAGACACAGCAGCAAATTCAAAGGAGGGTAGCTCGTTTAAAATGGAAAACCCAAACAACAAAGCGTTCCAAATAGTTCTCAATTCTGAATCGACTCGATATACAGTATGTTTTTATTGATTTTTCCGGTTTCACTGGTAAATCGTTCGAAACGATTTCTTGTCCATTGTTGATCGTTAACCATCTGCGTTCTCTGTAGAGGTAAGTACTTCATTTTCAAGAAATACCATGGCACTTTTTTTCTCTCAATTTTCATTAGTTATTCACATTTCAATTTTTCTTTATTATGGTTATGCGGTAGAATAGCTAATGCATTTACCACCTGCACAATACATAGCATACACACATTGCACATACATATCGTGCATAAAAAAAAGCTGAACCATATAATATTACTGGTTTTACACGTCACTGATTCTATCAGTTGGTAATCATTTTTTATTTTAATTTATAAACATGTTATTGCTATAAACGAACTTCGGAACTCTTATGCATGATATATGCATTCGGCAGTGGATTGTTTTTACCATTTTCGTACATTTTATGTATTCCACATGGAGTTGAAGAATTTTATACATCGCATACATGTGTGTGCATAAAAAACACGCATATGAGATCAAGAGAGGGAGAGAGAGAGCAAGACTTGAGAGCCGCCGCAGGTATGTACTTGTACTGTGTGTTGGAAATGTTTTGTGTTTGTTTGAGAGACTCGAATGAATGAATTAAATATGAATTTTCAGAATGAAAATTTTCCAGGTGAATAATAATTGGAGATAAACTTTTCTACCGTTTTGAACTTGCCGGGGTTTTTCAAGTTGGTCTATGAAAGAGAGGGAAATTGAGTCAGAGCCTAGGAATTTATATCTGGTTTGATTGAAATGTGTTTTATATAGAACCATCGTCTCGAAAAATGCTCATTGCATTTTTATGGGCTAATGGGAAATGCGTTAATCAAGAACCAACAACGAAATTTTCTATATATTAACACACTGGAAAATCTTTGCCCAAATGAATAATAAATGATTGAAAAACTATGGAACGGTGAAACGACGAAGCCGCTACAAACTGAAAACGTGGAAATGTTCATTCGAACAAACGCAATGTGAATGCTTTTTCATTTGTAATGCAAGCGACTGGGATAGCTCTCTTGTGAGCTAATATTTTGTGTGTACGTTTTTTTTCTCGTCTTCTCGAAAGCACATTTCTTTTCCAAGTCTTTGCTGAATTTCAACACATAGTTTAAACTTTATTAAAGTAATTCGTTTGCCAGTGCGAGCAGTGAGCACACACACAAATATATATATACTTGCAATCTCTCTGGAGATTTATTCAGTGAAATTGATTTTTTCAACCCTTTCCCAGTCTTTGGACGGATACCTGGCACCAGACGAACGTATGTGCGGTATGAGACTATACTTTTAAATAAATAATTTCAACAGGTTGTTCATGTCTTATAATTTACTATAGCTGGCACAACATTCATTATTGCATAAAATTACCGTTTCTTAAGCTTTATTAAAAAATACGAGCAAAGTTTCTTGCACAGCATTACGAATGCATAAAATCAACTCACACATTCATTGAATTGCGTCTTTACTCAACAAAAAAAAAGTCGAAAAATATACAAACCGAAAAAAACGTTCAGCGTTACAGAAGAAAAAAGGGGAATATGACTGGAAAAATGAAGAAGAGGAAGAAAAAGGGATGTGATGAACGTCAATATTCTTGAAAATTCGTTCAATTAAATTTGTCGACGGTAAGTAAGCTATTTCAAAATCGGTGAATTGGCTTAAGCCCAACCATTAACTGATCCTTTATTCTGACGCTTTTCACTCTTCTTATCTTATCTTCTTATTATAATCGGTAGTTTTCACGGTCACTGTCTATCCAGTTTACGTGAAAGTGATTTTGTTCGGTGTCGAACCATCGAAAATACATATTTTTGCATGCGTATTTTTCCCAAATCCATTCTGGTAAGGATCTCTGCATTTCAACCACAAGTACGAAATGAAGAAAAAGAGAAAAACGCACACGCCGCAAACAAGTTGGAAAAAACACTCACGTCAAACATGTAGTAAGTGGACTTAACGTAATCCGTAAAAATGTTATTCTCCGTTTGCTTGTATGTTATCTTATCGTCTATGTTGATTTTACGAAGCTACACTTCCGCCAACCGTAGACGAAAAGCTCATACGCAGTTGAATGAAGAACAAAAAAAAAACTGCAGTCAACATGTATTAAAACTTAAAGATGCTTTCTTGCGCATACACATAAAATGCTTTTATGCAAGTTTTGATTCAACGGATTTGTTATCGTTTGTTTTCGCTTGTTTATAGCTGATGCTGAATAAACTAGTTTCCTTTTCAATGAAGTGTGCTCATCAATGTTTGACGATTGGGTGTGTGTGTATTCTTCGAGTCATGTACCTTCGGTGGAAGCGCTTTATGTGATTGCGGGTTAAATAAATGTTGAATGAAATATAACATAACATTTTCTGTAAATATGACGATACGGCAACAAGACTTTTTTCCGTACAGTAAATATTACCGAATTGATAACGAGCTCAGAAATCAAGATACAACTAGCATAAAACACTATATAATTCCATATTGGCGTCAATCTTTTATACGCTTCGTACAACCTCAACACAATAAATCTTTTAACATCTCCTCAAAATGTTTCGGTAAATGTTTTTCTATTGTCGCTTCAAGCAAAACGCTTTTTACAATAGAAATAACAGTTTATTACCGTGTATCATCAAAATATACAACAAAAATATCTCAAATAAAATTATGAAGTGAAATATAAACTTTATTTACACATTTCATACACATTATTATGACTCTATTGAATTAAACATTTTTTTTTTTCAACTTCATGGCTTTGTCTATTTGAAATTAAAACTTTTTTCAGCTTTCTTTACCCATTTTTATGAATTCTCATCTAAAATGTAAATGACACAAATTATCTCAAATTTTTTTTTTATATTTTCAAAGTATTGATATCGATACAGGCGATTTTGTTATCGAAACTCAAAAAAAGGAGTAAAACTTTCTTCACATACGAACGATAAACAAAGGTGTGTTGATACTTATTATGTCTAATACTGATAATATTATGTCTGCGTCTCTGTATGCTTTTCTAATGGAATAGACATGTCTCTATTAGAGACTTTGAAGAATACCACATGACTTCAATGTATTTGGGGTTTACCTGCATACATTTCTTTGTGCAATATATGGAAAAATGTCACTTTCTGCAACATTTCAAACTTTAAATATGACCACTTATCTAAATACTTTCTCTACACCGGTTAAATAATTGTTGAAATCGCCTCAAATCTTCCATTAATATTTATAATTTATTATTTTACTTTATTCTTCTTGCAATTTTCAAAATAACCCAAACACTTTAAGTTCAGAATAAAATCATTGCCCAGCCGCATTTTGGTTCGCCAATTTCAAAAACATTTCGACTTTGGTTTTGATTTCGAATTTGGACAGAAACGTTCGACCAATTTGAATACAAGACAAGCGAATTAAATATTCATCATATGGCAATTTCATGTGTCAACCTAATTCGAATTCTATTGTTTTTCGATTGATTTATAATTTATCAGTGAATCGATCATTTAATTTTGCTCACTATGTGTGGTCAATAAATGTTTAAATTATCGAACATGTTTCGGAAAATTGAAACTACTAAAATATGTTCTTCAATATTGGCATCTCTTCTTGGTCTTTTTAGTCGACTAATAAATTGAAAACGGATCGTTTTAGTATTGGAAGTAAATCATTCAAAGCTAAACAACACTTTGAGCGCATTCATCAATAGAATTGGATAAATACGTTTCAAAATAAATTGAAATGCAGTGAAATGAATTTAAAAAAAAATATGAACGGTCGAGTTGTTTATAAAGGGAAAAAAGTAGTTGTGTAAATGAAATGTGTACTTACATTTATTGGATAACTCCTGGCTTTGGGCAATCAATTGTGCCAGCAATTGACTGTCAAATGATGGATTAATTGTACCGTGAATGCCTCGTTCATCATCGTCACTGCTGCTGTATCCATGTGCATGATGCCATTCAACTGAACGTTGTCGCCTGATATGATTTCCATTGGACGAAATCGTTCGGCCGCTCGATCGACCGATTGTTCCCGAATGGCTTGACATGATTTCCAAATTAATTGCTAGTTTTCAATGATGAAAATGGACTGTTTCATTCTCTAGTTCGGTGCATTTTGTTTATTCAATTGTTTGGACGATTCACGGTTTGATGGTCTTTTGATCTCACTGCAATGCAGAAATTGATAATAAAAAACACACAGAATTAAATGATTTTATCGAATTAGTTTTTGAACAATGGCAGAAAGAGAAAGAATGAGCGATAGGTAAGATAAATTTGATTGAAAATATTAAACGATTTAAATGGCATAAAATTCATTTTTTTTCGTTCATTTCAACTAATTTAATAATGTACTTTGCAATGACGCATTTCAATGTTCAACTGAAATGATTGACCCGAATCGTAATTTTATCATGAACATTTCCAATCATTGGAAATATAATATTCCGTATTATTATTTAAAAGCTGGCGATGAAGCAAATGCACAAATATCGTAATTGAATCAGCACATTTTATGCTGAAGGCAAATTATTATGTATCGCAAAAAATACATTCAAATGGAATATCAACATCCGCAAAAAAAAATGATCTCATATGAAATAATACTCGATAAAATCAGGCCAATGCATCGCAAAAGTTTTAATAACAGAACATATTTAATACAAAGTGGGAAAATATTATGTTTCACTTTGTTGTACATACAATTTTGATTGGAAGCCTTTTGATTAGCGTGGATAAATCAAATTAGACTGAAATTCAGCATCATCATCGACTGAATTCGTATTTATGTTTCAATCGACACACACACCCACAACCAAATTGGAAAAATAGAACAGAGTTTTGTTGAAAATCAATGATTAAACGATTCAAGTTTGAAAAATAACCCAATTCGAGATATTTGTTTGCGCAACGTGTTATTATCAGGAGCAAAATGTTGTCATTCGTTTGCGATTAATTAGCATTGGTTAAGCTGAACGATTCAATTAAAATGCATCAAAAATACGCTCGTCAAACACATTCATGATTTGAATTCACAACACTGTATGCATGAATGATTCAATAGCCGGGGGTAAAACAAGCATGGTGCTGACACAAAACCAAAACGAACATGGACGAAATTAATTGGAAAACTAGTTCATTTTAGGTTCAAATGACCTACTAACAGCTAATAATTTATGTTTTGAATGAAATAATTTTTATAGGAAAATCGTATTTGATAAGCCATCTATCACTGATATCATTTCAATGTTATGGCAAACATTTATTCTTACTTCAATCATATTTGCTATTTTTTAATTAGATTATTTGGTAATTTTCAATCATTCTGCATGTAATAGTAAACCATTTAACAAATCTAAATATACATGTGCACGGGGGTCACAAAGTCACCCCCTTCCTTAAATTTTCTTAGCTACTCCCAGTCGACACGAAAACTCTTCAGCGAGAAAAATCGTTCGATTTCTTAGAGTCTTGATTGAAAGTCTCCCCTCCCCCAAAAATCAATTTTTATGCAAGCGAAAAGAAAACTCCGTTTTTGTAAAAACAATAAAAAGTTTTTCGATTTGTTGGGGTTTTTCGAAAAGTGAATGGACCCCCTTAACTTTGCCGAATATTCTCATGAATCAAAGTGATTGGTCAATAGAGTAAGCTTTTATCGAATCAGTACTCGATGTTCACCTACTGTATATTCCTTCACTAACCTTCTCCTAACATATGTTTAGATAGAATTCCGACCACTGATTCTGCAGTTTACTCACAGAAATCTGTACATCGTAAATCAATTTTCGTGCCAAAATAGAAAGCTATCTCAAAGTGTATTTTGGATAAGGATTGATATTATCGAAGCAATATTGGATCCATATGTTCAATTAATGGATGTGGCAAATGATTATTGTGTATTCCTGTCCATTATTGTCGATGTTGTTGAAACCAATGAAAATCGTCAACTGGTGCGTGTACTGCTCTGCACACATGAATTCGAAGCTATCGGTTCGATTTGCGTTTAGAGTAGAAATTCATAGTTGATGAAGTCTCGTCATTTCAGATCCACTTCAAATCATGCCGAACAATTCCAAAATTGTTACGCGCGTTAGACACGCAAATGTCGTTTGACAAACATTAAATCTGTCACCAATGCCATTGTCTGTGTTTTTCTTTCCTCCGTACCAAATGCCCATCACAGTTCAAATAAATCAAGCATGTGATTTCGCAGCTGACAAATCTATTGCAAACTCAATCGTACTTTGATAGGAAAACATGTCAAATTCAATTTATTCTGTGGGCTTTCCGATTAGAATGGACATAATTTTGTGTGATATTTTTGCTGCAAAACTTTAACAAATAAAAAAAATGATGTAAAAGCTAAAAAGTGGTCTTTTTATGCCGATAAATTTTGTTTGTAGAATGGGTTAGGCGCGTCAATAAAACTATTGCGCGTACTTGTGAGATTAAATAAAGATTGCTGTATCGTTGTGATAAGTTGACGCATTCAATATAAATGATGAAATATCTGGATGACTATGCCAATTGTACTACGTGACAATCGCGAAAATGTTGTAAAGCAAACAATGCGAGTTTGTCGAGCGAAATGCGTCTCCATATCGTCTTGATTGAATCGAAGAAAGGAAACTACAAAGAAACGACTTAAATATGAAAAAAAAAAAGAAATCCGCTTCGAAACAAACATTAAACATATGTAGTGAAATAGTGGTACGACAATAACGATGTCAACATCGAGAGCAAGACCCATATTTTCCCTAGCGCTGTAAGTGTATTTATGTATGCGTGTGCGTATCACACACGATACCGAGAGCTGAACGTTGTTTGTGCATTGTTGTGAAGTTGCTTTTGCCATCGTTCTCATCGTTCACAGCGCACATAGAGAATAATATCAATTTACATAATATTGTTAAATGTGGATACGTGAATCTCATCTCAATGAGCGAGAAAAAGAGAGTGAGAGGGATAGAGAGAGACAGGGAGAAAGAGTTTTTGAACGAATTATTCGCACATTATATGTCATGATCCATTTATATAGTGCACATCCATATTTGTGATGAGCGAGCGAACGAACGAACGAACTACATACAGCGCTCGTTTAGTGTCAAACAACGAATGGGTTTACGTTTTCTCTATAACGTATACACGCTCACACAAAATGTTATGTGTTTAAATCGGTTTTTTATGCGTTTTTTGCTTTGTTTGATAATGTTGATGTGGATCTTTTCATGCGATAACGCTCAATAACAAATTCAAAGTTCTTCTTTGCCGTCAGTGGCAACAATGTCGATGGCAAAAGAGTACCGTCGACAACAATCGACACTGTGTTTGCGTGACGGTGACGGTGATGCTATTACCAGTCGCTTTTCAAGCATTCAATTTATAAATATTGCTACAGTATTTTTCTTTCTCTTTCCCTTACTCTTTCTTTCTTCGTGTCTCTTGCTATTCGTGGGTCTTCTCATCCTTTCACATCATTATTTTGTATGCGACACAAAACAGTGTTTGTTTACATTTGCCTTCGCTTTGTCTTTTCGCTTTGTTCGCGATTCCATCCTTCTCTCTCTTGCCTCCACCATTTTGCTCTCTCTCTCTCTCTCTCTCTCTCTCTCTCTCGAGCTAACTCGAACAGCAAATAGACTTTTACATTACGACCAGAAATAATAAAACGAAAAAAGGGGATTTTGGGCGCTGTTTTTAAATTCCATTCAAGTTTTTAAACAAACGATTACCATTTTCAGTTTCGCCAATGAAAGCTGTTGTTTAAATACCATTGTTAAATGCATCCAAAAGCTGATTATTTCGATTTTCTTTGAATCGTGCATGTCATTTTCATTTGCTGGATATGATAATTGTTCTTCAATTTGTCTGGCACATTTCTTTTGTTCGTCAACATCATTATCGTAATCAATAAAATGACCAGCATACCGATGGAGCACTGACATCGAACGAAAAAAAAATCCACCAGCAATTAAATAAAACGCAATGAATTTTTGCCACCCGTTTTTTTGCTCGGGCACTAATGAGAATGGTGTGTTATCGAATCCATGTCCATGCATTGGCGCATATATACAACCATTTCTAAACGGTTCAAGAGAGATATACGTGATTAATGATTCAAATCAAAACGAGTAAAAAATAGATTTTGCATTTTTTTGCTGCTCAACATGTATACAGTTTTTTTTAAATGGTGTTTTCAGTCGTCCGTGGCCATAGGGGCGGCTAATCTTCGAACATTTTCGCTCAACTGACACCCAGATCCGATTTCGTGACACACACACACAAAAATACACACAATATAACATGAGCGCACACAAAATGCCATCGAGCTATGAGAAAAATTGATAACTATTGTGCACTTTGCTCTTCATGATGCATTGTGACAGACCAAACACCATGCAGCCTGCATCATGTGTGAGGGTGTGTGTATATGTTTATAATATGAATGTGTTTATTTTCAGTATCATGTTTCATAGGATTTTTGCAATGTCATCCACAGATTGTTAAGTAAAAATGGTTTATCTCTGATTCTTATGCCCTTGCCTTCCACCATACATGATACACATAAATTGCAATCGCTTAGTTTTTCCATTCGCAAGTGAAAAATTGTCACATGTCATTTTTCATACAAAGAATCATTTGCACGTTGAATGGTTACGACGACGCCAACAAAGAATGGAGAAGAGATGTGAAAAGAAGCACAATGAATGATTGCAGCTATTGTGCACATTTGATATTGTTGAATTCTCTATTTTTTGTCGCTTCTACAATTACACCTCAATTGTAACGTTGATAGATCTTTTGGGGTAAATGATGGAGACAGATTTTGATATATTCGACCAAGTGGGTGTCAGTTTATGTCTTAAAAACAAATGATAACAAAAAAAAATGAAAATAATCAGGAAAGAACCGAAAACATGTTATAAACACCAAAAAATTCAAAAAAAAAAATCGAGAAATTGAAAATTTCATATGTTTCTATTGAATAAAAGTTAAATTGTCTTTCATCATTTTCTCCAGCTGCCTAAGTACGACTGAACGGGTTTTCCCCAGTGTAAGACACGTTCACTGGAGCAATATGCAGAACAAAATTATTATCTCCGCCTTAACAACTTCACTCATGGTTCCCCTTCTAAGCCGAGACATTTTATGAACCTCTGCACTTGAC